TAAATTCCAGTGAAATATATTTATGTTTGTGGTTGTAATGTGACAAAATATGGAAAAGTTCAAGGGGTATGAATACTTTTGTAAACCACTGTATAAATATATAAAACTCTGATAGTGTATTAGTTTGTACAAAAACAAATCATGTCACACTCCAGCAGGACAGAATCATTCAAATAAAAGGACTGTACTTACTGTTGATAATAAGATCTTAATCAATAGACTTAGAAATCATTGGGTTATCCGGTTCTGTTCTTGAGTGGTTCTCAGCTTACCTGTCTGACCGAAGTTTTCAACATGTCCATTACCACCAGCCTGACTTTTGGTGTGCCCCAGGGTTCTGTTTTAGGACCCATTCTATTTATTCTTTATATTCTCCCCCTTGGACAGGTAATCCAGAAATTCAGAAATGTGCAATTTCTATGCTGATGATATCCAACTTTATTGCTCATTTAAAGAAAGTGAGTTTCATAAATTAAAGTCCCTAACAAATTGTTTAGCTAGCATCAAACAGTGATTAAGTAAATATTATCTACAACTTAACTCAGATAAAACTGAAACTCTGATTATTAAGATGGAAAATACGGTTGCTCAGATTGAACAGTTTGTTGGTGTCTTAGGTCCATCTGTTCAGTCCAGCCTCAGAAACTTTGGTGTCATTTTTGATTCTGCAATGTCTCTGAAACACGTAAAGCAACTGACCAGAAACTGTTAGCTTCATCTTAGGAACATCTCAAAATTGAAACATTTCCTGTCAAAAGCTGAACTTGAAATGGTCATTCATGCATTTATTTCTTCTCGTTTGGACTATTGTAACAGCCGGTTCACTTGTTTAAACAAGAAGGAGTTAGACCGTCTTCAGGTTGTCCAGAACTCGGCTGCTCGACTGTTAACTAACATGAACAAACGTGCTCACATCACACCTGTTTTGGCTTCTCTTCACTGGCTCTCAGTTCGTTTTAGAATTCATTTTAAAATTCTGGTTTTAACTTTTAGAGCCTTACATGGTCAAACCCCGTCATATATCTCAGATTTGATCCAGCTTCTGAGGTCATCAGGTCAGATGTTGGTGGTGGCACCCCGCACACATTTCAAATCCAGAGGGGATCGGTCTTTCCAAGCAGCTGCACCTCGGCTCTGGAATGCACTGCCCTGATCTATACGCAGCCTTGATTCTATTGATGCTTTTAAAACACATCTGAAAACTTTCTTTTACAAACAGGATTTTGCCTAAGTGTTTTTTTACGACCCCCGCACGCCATATTTTCATATTGTTTTCGTACTGTTTTTTTTTCCAGTGATTTTTGGTCAACCATAGCACAAAAACGGCTGCACCGATCAACATGAAATTTGGCAGGACTGTAGATGAGTCTGACCAACACTGCTCCAGCCAACGGTTTTACGATAGACCCCATATTTGAGGAGGGGGTGTCTGGAGACAAGAACTCAGAAACTGTTCAACATAGGAGCTTCAGATTTATTTTGTTGTTTAGCTCTGATGAAGCTCTATCCATCAGGCCCACCAATCAGTGCCCCCCAACCCCCCGGACCCACAATTTATCTGAAGAAGGATTATCTGGACATACAAAAATGGTTATAGCTCAAAAACTATTAAACACAGGAGCTTCAGATTTTTTTGGTTGTTTAGCTCTGATGAGGGGCTATCCATCAGGTCTACCAATGAAAAAGACCCCCACCCAAGCCACTACAATTTCAAGATGCACCTACAGGGGTATCAAACTCATTTTCACCGAGGGCCACATGAGCGTTATGGTGTTTCATGTTTAACTTTGACTAAACAGTTTTAACACGTCCTCTTTTAAACACTGATAAGAACTAAATGTATGACTGACTAAATCTGAAATATATAATCTATATATATATATATCATTTAGTTCATGTTATGTTATGTTATGTTATGTTCATGTTAGTATCATCTATATCATTTAGTTTATGTTTGATCGTGACTTTCAGACATTAGTACTGTGCTATCCAACTAAACTGCTCAGTTACTT